TCCCAGCTCAGCCATGAAACCCATTGGGTGACAATTGGGCAAGTCACACTCTCTCAGCCTCAGGGGAAGAAAGCCATAGCAGAACAGGGTGACAGCATGTCCTAACTGCAAAGGAGGACAAGGCCCTGCAAAGTGTAGGACATTCAAGAAAAAAAATGTAAGGGCATTCCAAAATAAAAGCTGAAATATTAATAGAAATATACATTCATACTTCTTAGGCTCAAAATGGAGGACACTGTGGAATTCCTCCTGGACAGAAGGTTAAAGTATAGGACATGTCCTAGAAAAGGAGGACATCTGATCACCCTGCCTCTGAACAAATCTTGCTGAGAAAACCCCATGATAGGTTCGCTTTAGGGTTGCCATAACTTGGAAAGGACTTGAAGGCAAACAACAGCCAACTACCATCATAGAGATCCAACGTAGTGCAGTGGTTTGAGCATTGGACTTTGATTCTGCAGATCACACTCTCTAAGCCTCAGAAGGTGGCAAGGGCAAACCCCCTCTGAACTCCTAGGCAAGAAGAATCTTGCCAAGAAAATCCTAGGTAGGCTTGCCTTAAAGGTAAAGGTATTCCCCCCCCCCACCCGTTGACAAGGTTAGGGGGCGGTGCTCATCTCCATTACTAAGCATGTTTTCTAACTGCTGGCTTGGCAGAAGCTGGGACTAGTGACAGGAGCTCACCCCATCATGCAGCACTCGGGGGCCTCGACCTGCCAAGCTGCCAATTTTGCAATCAACAGAGTCAAGGTCTTAACCACTTAGGGTCACCATAAGAGCACACAACAACAAACTCTTGTCATCTTTTATGACTCTTAATGTGTGTTAAGAACACACATATGCACACACCAGGCAACTTGCTCCAAAGACTGGAAAAAAAGTATTCAAGCAATCCCTGGTTTTGCTGCATTAGGTGTACCTGTGCAACCTCACCCGATGAGTAAAGACCTGTATCATCATCCCAGTTTCTGGCATTTCCAGTCTTCCTGCTTGACTTGCGCAGAAAAGTTCTTAGTTTTTCTGTCCCTTTCCTGACTTCTTTCCAATGGGAGGGAATAGACTTTAGGCCAACAACCAGAACGCAGATTACCATAATTTTTTTTAAAAGAAAAAGAAATAGCCAAACAACCAAGGGAAAAAATACCTTGGTATTTGGCCTTGCTTTTAGAAAACCAAACCAAACAATGCTTTCTAAAGTTATACCTCTAGAAACTAGTTTGTTTTTATGCAAGGGTGTTTATGAAGAACACACTCTTGCCTTTTAAGGAACATTTGGAATAGCTTGAAGTGAATATGTCAGATAACTGAACTTACAGTGTTGGCAGCTTTGCTGAGTGTACATTAAGTGCATTTGAGCATAATTGGGGCATGGGGACCCATTCACACTGTATAGATATAGCAGTGTGGTCCACTTTAACTGCTAAGGAAACATCAACTTGAATCTTGGTGTTTGCAGTTTGATCAGAGGCTCCAGAGGAGCTCTCTCAACTGCAAACCGAACATCAACAATTTAAGATACGCAGATGACACTACACTACTAGCAGAAAATAGCAAAGACTTGGAATGATTACTGAAGAAATTAAGAGAAGAAAATGCAAAGACAATTTTACAGTTGATCATGAAGAAAACAAAAGTAATGACCACAGATGATTTGCATAAAGCAGATGATGAAGACTTCAAAATAATTTAGGATTTTCCATACTTTGGCTCAATCATCAATGGAGAGTGCAGTCAAGAAATCAGGAGAAGACTAGGACTTGGGAGGGCAGCTATGAAGGAATTAGAGACATTTCTGAAATGTAAAGATGTATCATTGAATACTAAAGTTAGGATTGCCCATGCCATCGTATTTCCCATTTCTGTGTATGGTTGTGAAAGCTGAACAGTGAAGAAAGTTGATAGGAAGGAAATCAACTCTTACGATGTGGTGTTGGAGAAGAGTTCTACAGATGTCATAGACTGCTAAAAACACAAATAAATGGGTCCCAGCATGGTATAGTGGTTTGAGCATTGAGCTGTGATTCTGAAGACCAGGATTTGATTCCTGCTCTGCCATGAAACCCACTTGGTGGCCTTGGACAACTCACATTCTCTCAGCCTCAGGAGAGACAAAGCTCTTCTGAACAAATCTTGCCAAGAAAATTTCATGATAGGTTCACCTTAGGGTTGTTATAAGTCAGAAAATACTTGAAGGCACCCAACATATACACATAGAGCAAATCAAGACTGAACTCTCCCCCAAAGCTGTGATGATTAAACTGAGACTGTTGTACTTTGGACATATCAGGCAAAGACCTGACTCACTAGAAAAGGCAATAATGCTTGACAAGGTATAAGGCAGCAGGAAAAGAGGAAGACCACATTCCAAGTGGATAGTCCCAGTCAAGGAAGCCATGGCCCCAAGTCTGCAAGACTCCAGCAGGGATGCTGGTGGCAGGATGATTTGGAGATTTTATTCATGGGGTTGCAATAGATTGATGTGGCCTTGACAAATGTTAACAACAACTACTGCAAATCCCTGGATTCCATGGGATGTTGCTGTGGCAGTCAAAGTGGAATCATAGCACCAAAATTGTGCAGTGTGAGTGGGCCCAATATAAACAGATCTCAGAGATGTGCAACATTTAAATGTAGGGTGCCAAGTAAGGCTGCTGGACTTTTGTTGCCTGAAAGGGAAACTGCTTTATCAGAAATATTGTGGAAAATGTAAGTGGTCACTTGCTGCATCCACTCATAGGTGCAGTGTTTAAGAACAGGCATCAGTGCAAGTAGGCATTACTCTTGAAGCCCCAGCAGCTTGAATATCTGTCTGGAGCAGCCTCACCTCAGCTGTGCCCTTCAGAAATGGGCTACATGTTGCCATCATCAATCAGCATGGCCTATACTGGTTGAACGGGTGTGAGTCCACATTTGGAGTCCAGCACATCTGGTAGGTACAGTTTGGGAAAGGAGTGGGGAGCAGAGGTGGCGAGTGTGTGGCTCTCCAGATGTAGTTAGACAGACTGCAGATTCCATGAGGCATCACACATGGACATAATAATTTAATTAGAGATCTAATTACATAACTATTGCCTTGCTTTATCTGCATCTTTTTACATGGACCATATGAAAATTATTATAACATTATGACTAAAGGGATTTGATTGATCAGAGTCTTCCAAAGGATTGTATATTTGCATGGAAAGTCATATATTTGCCACTGTATGTGTGTGCATGTGCTGGGATCAGTGGACCATAACATCCTTTTTCTTGACATGCCTATACTTTTAAACATTATTTAGCATTTTAAAAGTTGTGTAGTAATGGAGTGTTGCCCATTGCAGATGTAAAAGTTGCATGTGTTGGAGGACTTAGTGAAGCCCTGTTCATTTATTTAATTCAGTTACATCCCACCTCACTTGCAAAGAGCTCAGGGCAAGATAAATCAGTGTCTCCCAGTGTTGTCCTCAGGAGAACCCCATGAGATAGATTGAAAGACAGCCCAGTGGCACCCAGCGTGTGGGGATTGGAACTATAGTTTCTTGGATCCTAGCAGCCAGCCCCGTCCACCCTTATCTATCCATGCACAGGTTGTGCTAGGACCATCAGAGTAAGAAGACAGTCTTATTTATTTATTTATTTATTGGATTTATATCCCACCTTTCTCCCAAAATGGGATTCAAGGCAGATTCAGTGGGATTTTACATATCTCTCATTTGTCTTTCACTCTCACCTTGATAAAAGCTGCCTGTGATCCAGTCTAGATCACAGTAACTTGCATTGAGCAAAAGAGGATGGAGTCAGTGTGGTGTGAGAGCCAACGTGGCATAGTGATTTGAACATTGGACTGGGACTCTTGAAGCCAGAGTTCAAATCTCTGCATGGCCATGGAAACCCTCTGTGACCTTGAATAAGTTGTACTCTCTGAGGCCGCACTTACACTCATGTTTTTGAGCCAGGTAGATCCGGGGAGATTCAATGATGCAAGACCGAATCAAAGTTCCCACTATGTTTACCCCAATCTTATTCATGAGGTTGCGATAGATAGACTCTGCTTGTGGCAATTTAACCCTGTTGAAGTTCACATTACCATTTGTAACAATTTAAAATGGAGCCGCCATTTTGATTGTTCTCAGTTTTTTAAAACTGTCAATCAAATGATGCGCAACTATGTCACATTGTTTGGACAAATCCTTCCCATCAGCCTTTGAGGATGGTGATGGCAAGCCCCTCTGAGCACCCCTTGCCAAGAAACCCCCAGGATAGCTTCTCCTTGGGGGGATTTCCCTC